CAGATCTGCAGATCTGGTCTCATTGGATGCCGGTGGACCGTTGCAAGGTACGATTGCAGCATCGACTACAGGGAGATCGACTTCTTGGGTCTTCAGATCTGGAGACCGGCGGACCTTCTGGGAGGAGGAGATCTTCCTGCACTTATGAGGAGGAGCAGATCTGAAAGAGGAGGAGGAGATGTACTCTTCAAGTTTCTGCTGGTCGAATTCGTACTCGACCTCTTCAGCCAAGAGGATCTTGATCGTCGGCTGTGGCATGACAACCTCGGCGACGAGGCTGTTGGCTCCCACTGTGGTCGCCAGTTTGTTTGCGGAGAAAATTATTTGATTCATTGTGATGTTCATTACAAACTACAGACGTTTACAATGAATACAAAAATTAGTCTTTTTATAAGACTTTTACACAATGAAAACAAAACAAAAGTACAATTCTCTTCAAACAAACGCAACGGGTGTTTATCGCCCGCTGCTTGCGTAGGATCTTGGCCTGTGACGGGGACGCGATAGTCCGTGGACCACCGAACGATCAATATTTGGACAGAGTTTCGTCTATCTGCGAAGGGATCAAGAAACCGTAGCTCTTACCTCGGCGAAGCGAGATAATCACTCTTCTTAAGATTACCGCAACGGGATAATCCTAAGGAACGAACCGGGCTGCAGATCTAACTCCTCCTCCTCTCTGAAATCTGTGCACTTTTGATCTTCAATCCGGCAGGGCTTCGCCAAGGCTCGAGAATTCCAGATCTGAAAAAATGAGGCTCTAAGGCTTGTATTTATAGGCACGGGGGGAATTCGGGCTGGAGACACCCTTGGGTGTCTCAACTTAGGCCGAGACACCCACCTTGGGGTGTCTCGTTTGTGCCGAGACACCTCGGGTGTCTCAACTCAGGTTGAGACGTTCCGTTTTGCATATTCGTCCGTTTCCGCCGTAACTTCTTCATCCGAACTCGGATTTGAGCGCGTTTTGCATATTCGTCCGTTTCCGCCGTAACTTCTTCATCCGAACTCGGATTTGAGCGATTCAAAGTGTGTTGGAAATCCGACGAGGAGTTCTATAAGCTCCAATGATTAGATCATCTGTGGAATAAATGAGACACGAAGGGTATTTTGCCGTTTGTGAACGACACGAGGTTCCCGATCAGTTCGTGTCTTCGTCGTTCTGAAATTCCGTTATTTTACGTCGATTCACTTCAATCGTTCACCGACATCAATCAAGCTTCTGTGAACAAGATAGTGACGTTCATCGTCTTTTCTTAACGTTGAGCGGTTCGTGGAGACCTATAGGTAATTTTCAATGCCTACAGTAACGTCTACTAAGAAATTTCTATCAGCTCAGTTCATCATGAAGGACCTTGGAACTGCAGATATGATTCTTGGAATCAAAATCATATCCTATGAAGAGGGTATTGGATTGTCCCAATCTCATCATGTCGAGAGCATGCTAAGGAAGTATGGCTACTACGACCTGCCAGAACTATCAGTGTCATATGATTACAACAAGAAGTTTTGACCGAACACTGAAAGACCAGTAGAGTAGCTAAGATACTCAAAGATAATTGGAAGTCTTATGTACGCGATGAGCTACACAATGCCAGATATAGCATTCGTTGTAAGAATGTTTAGTAGGTTCACAAGTAATCTTGGAAGGCTTTACTAGGATCATGTCCAGAGATTAATGAGATACATGAAAGGAACTATAGGTTCGAGCCTATTCTACACTGGATATCTGGATGTAATCGAAGGCTATTCAGATACGAGCTGGTGCTCAGAACCAGATGAGTGCAGATATACTGGAGGTTTTGTCTTCACCATGGATGGAGCTGTCATCTCGTGGAAATCTAAGAAGCAAACTATGATTGCACAGTCATCGATAGAATCTGAGTTCTTCACACTCTGTGCTGCAGGAGATGAAGCTGAGTGGTTCAGTTGTATTCTCTGAGACCTTACATTGATAGAATTGTAAGACGCAATTACAATCTATTGTTATAATCAGGCAACGGGTGTTGTGGCAGTGAACTCGTTGTTCAATGGAAAGAAGCGGACCATTCATCTGAAGCATGGCTATTTGAGAGAACTCATTTGCCAAGGAGTCATCTCGGTGATTAACGTTCGGTCTTCAGAGAATGTGGCTGATCATTTGACTAAATGTCTGAAAAAGGATATAGTCGAAAGGACGTCTGCTGCAATGGGTCTCAAAGTTTTATGAGTCTTATAAATACTTACCATGTTATCCAATTATTAGTTTAAAGCTTACGTTAATTACTAATAATAAAGATAACTGGTTCAAAAGTCAAGTAAGATTTATAAAGTTTGGTAAGTCTTATAAACACTTACCATTTTGTCAAGTTATTAGTTCAAAGCTTGCGCTACTAATGATAAGATGATTGGTTCAAAAGTCAAGTAAGATTTACAAGTAAAATCCTATCATGTAAAGAGGTTGGCTTTAAGTCTTAATGAGTCCAAAGCATTTCGGATGTGGGATGTTAGATAAGTAATATGCCTAAAGGACTCAGCGATAATCCTATCATGTAAAGGGGTTGGCTGTTAAGCCTTAATAAGTCCAAAGCATTTCGGATGTGGGGTGTTAGATAGAAAACATACCTAAAGGACTCACCTAGAATCATATCATGAGAGAGAATAACTCTTAAGCCTTAATGAGTTCAAAGCATTTAGGATGCGGGATGTTTGATAGGAAACATGCCTAAAGAACTCACCTATGGCTGAGTAAAGATTTGGCCGTCTCCTATGGTATATTGTGGAAAGATACCTAGAACCCTAGCAGAAACCAGGACAAGCACATGGCCATAAATATGCAAAGGCAAAGGCAATTGTGGTTCAAAGTAAAAACTACCATAGATGAGTTTGTTCGTGTGTGATCGCTGAATTTTAGACATGTGCTGGTTTAAGTCTCTGCGACACCGTGCATCTATCTTCTATTCAGTTGGTCTAAGGGGGATTCAAGTCCTTACGACATCTACCTTATGCACAACGATTGAAACGACGACATCATAACACGACACTAGTTTAAAAAATTGTGGGGGATTGTTGGATTTTTTGGTCAAAACTGCTTTCCAAAATGAGTTTTCAAACTATATATATATTAACTATAAATACTTTTCATAAATACTTAGTAGCCTAGTGGAAAGTTTATGTTTTGGTGTTTCAAAAGGTCCCTTGTTCGAGGCTTGCCAACGGCAAGCCGAGAAGTGTTTTGGTACGTGGGCCATGGGTCATAGGCCAGGGATCGGGGCTAATCGGGTTGAGGCGCTAAGTGGTGTTTTGTTAGGCGCATTTCGCACGGAGGTATCAGGGCGAGGTGGCACTGTTTGGCGCCACGTTGGCTGCCACGAAGGTTGCCTCACAGGCTGCTTCACAGCATGCGGACGAGCTACGCATTTGCACGAGGGTGTGACCCTAGCGTTCTCGAAGTCAGATGAGGTTCGTTCGTTCAACGAGGTTCGTCTGTCATACGAGGTTCGCCTGTTTAACGAGGTTCGCTCGTTCAATGAGGTTCGTCTGTTTGACGAGGTTCATCTGTCATACGAGATTCACCTGTTTGACGAGGTTTGTTTGTCAAACGAGGTTCGTCTGATTTGCTGAGACGTGACCATCGCGTTATGTAGCAACGCGTCCATTGATTGTCTCGTATTTAGGAGTTACTACATGTAGCAGTTACAACAGTATTTAGAACAATTTAATGCATTGATGTTATAATCTTAATTGCCATTGAGAATTGTAACAGTCATATTAATTACATGTGATTCTTGAGCTGGCCTTAGAGGCCTATAAATAGCGTCATTGGGCAGCTCTTGAAAAACACATGCGAGCTTGGAAAACGAATGTCAGATCAAGGAGAACTTGAAATTGATGTTGCTGTTGTGCTGCTGCTGCAGAATCTGTGTCCGCAGGAACTTTCCCTTAAACCGAAAGGTTCTGAGATTGTGGAGATCTTTGTTTTGACCGAAAGGTCTTATAGATCGAGGAGATCTTGACAGCACTGGGTTGGTGCACATCAGAGTACTGTGCTACTATTCCTAGAAGCAGTTTAGCCTTGGGATCATTGCACCGGAGTAGGCTAAATATTGCTTTAAGCACAGCGTTTCTCAAACGCACAGCAGTGGACTGAAAAATTTAAAATTACAGCACATCATCATTTCTCTGTTTTATTCTAGATTTAACCACAATTTACAACAAAAATTTACCAGACTAATCTGAAAATATCCAAATTTGACGGAGTACTTTCAAAATATGAAAGACTTGGAGGGCTAATATCCAATAACCCCAATAATTTTTAAAGAGTTCTCCCCTAGTAAAATTACCTATAAGATAGTCCGCTCAACTTGATTGCGAACCAATTAGGGGAGTGTATATAAAGATACTCAAGAATTACAAAGCTGTCTATAAACTCAATGAATAATCATATTCTTGTTTATTTCCACAATTCCAATATGTGAGAGATTCTTTTTCCGGTATTTACTTTTGAACTCCACGTGTATCTGCAATAATTTTTCATTACCATGTCTTTTACGATCATTTTTTTTATTAAGAATTTAATTCCTCGTGATTACCTTTTACCACATGTGCATTTGAATGGCGTACCAGAATAATTTGTCAACATATACTGCTTTTTATAATTAATATGATCAAATAAAACCCAACTCATATACACAACCATGCCTATTTAGCCAATTCGGGTGGACTTGGGTTATCGGGTGGCATCCAGGCTACTTAAGCCATTTGCACCCGCTAAAAACGATTTGGACAGTTATGCTGGCGGGAGAAACAGACTATTATCGGTCACTTTCAGTTGACGACCGACACGTGGCAACTTATGATTCATTCTACAAGATCCGGACCGGATCCAACCCGCTTTCTGAGGTTTCTACAATCTCTCTCCTTCACTCCTCTCCTTTCTTTTCTCACGTCCACACTGCTCAAAACCTTCGTTTCACTTTCTGTCTCCTAATTCGTTTCGTTGTATTTTTTTTTCCTCTCCTCCTTCAAAATCTTTTACCCTTCTTGGGATTTTCTCAATTTTTATTTCTTTTCATATCCTTTTCTGATTTTTTTCCCCCATTATTATTCTTAGTGTGTAGATAATTATAATTATAGTTTTATTATGGGTAGGGTTAAACTTCAAATAAAGAGAATAGAAAATACTACGAACCGGCAAGTGACCTTTTCAAAACGCCGAAATGGCCTCATCAAGAAGGCATATGAGCTCTCTATCCTTTGTGACATTGATATTGCCCTCATCATGTTTTCTCCTTCTGGCAAGCTCAGCCATTTCTCCGGTAGACGAAGGTTTTTGTCCATGCAACTTGTTTAGGAGGATCAAAAAACTATTAGTTAAGATGTTTTTTCTTATATTAATTTCTAATTAACTTTTGATTACTCGATTGCTTTGGTATAGGATCGAGGATGTGCTTGCTAAATATCTCAATCTATCAGAGAATGATAGAGGAGGGTACGATTTTAAATTCAATTATCTGTTTATTAGTATATAGTTCGTTTAAATAATGTCTAGTGAATGGACGTATCTCTAATATTCTTTTATTTAATTTTTTGGTGTAGAGCTTTCCAAGATAGAGAGGTGAGAAACTTTAGTTCTCTTTCATTGCTTTTTTCAAAAAATTGTATTGAATAATTTATGTCTATTATCTATTTTTTGCATGAAATTCATGCAGTATTTGATAAGGATGCTTAAAAAGCTGAAGTGCGAGAACGACATGGCAACCCAGTTAGCCAAGTATGTAAATTCTCACCAAATATATGTAAACTTTATTTAGGATAAATATATCAGTTCTACGATATTTTTATAAGAGACATTTTTTCTTTTATTTACTTATTTATTTATTTGCTTATTTATTTTTTGAGGGTTTTGAATTTCCTTTATCTTTTTTAATTACTAATTTTAATTATTAATTTTCTAGTATGAATATCTGACATAATTCCCCTTTTCGCTTACTATAATTTCAGTCCTGGAGTGGTTGATTCTCATTTAGAGGTAATATTTACTTTTCCAACTAAAGTTTTCTTGCTGTTCTATTCATCATTTAAGTTACTTTTGTAAATTCTTCCAAAAAAAAAGTTTATTTTTCTTCATTAATTACTTGCTTTTTCACTTTAATTACAGGAGCTCCAACAAGAGATTGGTAGGTATCAACACCAATTGCAGATATCCGAGGAACGTCTAAGGTATATTAACAAAAAAAACCAAGAATTATGTATTATAACCTTTTGTTTTAAAATACAACATTGAGAAATCCTTGATTTAATTATATTTCTTATATATTTTATTTTATTTTATTTTATTTTTTGGATTGTTTCAGATTTTTT